CTCCTGCGCCCATTCCCATGGCAACTTGGGCCTATGAAGAAGCCAGATGGGATGGAGCTTATAACAACAACCTTCTAAGGAGGTAGTTCTAATGCACCTAACTGTAGAAAAATTACAAAGGACCTCATACCAGTTTGTAAACAATACGGCAGTTGGACAGCTGAGATTTCATCACCAGGAAGCATTTTGACCCTAGAGGAGGAGTTATTGAACTATTTTTCTGTAAAGACGCAGATAGTAAATATTTTAGGCTTTTCAGGCCACTTGATTCCCTTCTAACTTTTCAGCGCTATCATTGAAAACAGCCAGACGATGAACAGGTGGGCACAGTTTTGTTGCAGTAACACCGTATTTCTAGAAACAGGCAGGGATTCAGGCTGCCGGATGTGGTTTACTGACCCTAAACCTGCAACATCACTGACCAGGAACAGGAACAGCAGAGGCCCCATCGTGTGCAGCTTTTCTCTCTCTGCTTCCACGTCAGCTGCCTTGCTTCAAGTGATGGCTCACACCTGTAATCCCAGCACTTTGGGAGGCCAAGGTGGGCAGATCATGAGGTCAAGAGATCGAGACCATCCCGGCCAACATGGTGAAACCCTGTCTCTACTGAAAATAGAAAAAAATTAGCTGAGTATGGTGGCACACACCTGTAGTCCCAGCTACTAGGGAGGCTGAGGCAGAAGAATTGCTTGAACCCGTGAGGCAGAGGTTGCAGTGAGTCGAATAGCACCACTGCACTCCAGCCTGGCAACAGAGCAAGACTCCATCTCAAAACAAAAACAAAAACAAAACAAAACAAAGCCAAAAAATACCCTAACTGCAAAGAGAAAATTGACCCCTCTGGTTATATTTTGTTTCGGTTTTGGTTTTTGAGATGGAGTCTCGCTCTGTGCCAGGCTAGACTGCAGTGGTGCAATCTCAGCTCACTGCAACCTCCGCCTCCTGGGTTCAAGTGACTCTGCTGCCTCAGCCTCCCGGTAGCTAAGACTACAGGCGCCCGCCACCGCGCCCAGCTAATTTTTTTCTATTTTCAGCAGAGACGGGGTTTCACCATGTTGGCCAGGATGGTCTCGATCTCTTGACCTTGTGATCTGCCTGCCTCGGCCTCCCAAAGTCTGGTTACATTTTTAAGGCAGTGACTACTGAGGATTGTCTTTTTATCTGTTCTTAAATTCTCAATGATTTGTTCAAATCCCATCTTTCTGAAGCAGCCCATCAGAGCCTCTTTTTTTTTTTTTTTTTTGACTTGAGATGGAGTTTTGCTCTTGTTGCCCAGGCTGGAGTGCAGTGGTGTGATCTCAGCTCACTGCAATCTCCTTTTCCCAGGTTCAAATGGTTCTCCTGCCTCAGTCTCCCAAGTAGCTGGGAATACAGGTGCCCACCACCACACTGGGATAATTTGAGCATCTTTCTTTCTTTTTTTCCTTTTTTTTTTTTTTTCTTTTTAAAGAGACGGAGTCTCGCTGTCGCCCAGGCTGGAGTGCAGTGGTGCCATCTCAGTTCATCTCAAACTCCGCCTCCTGATTTCAAGCAGTTCTCCTGCCTCAGCCTCCCGAGTACCTGGGACTACAGGTGCACACCACCACACCCAGCTACTTATGTTTTGTATTTTAGTAGAGATGGGGTTTCACCATGTTGCCCAGGCTGGTCTCGAACTCCTGAGCTCCAGCAATCTACCCACCTCGGCCTCCCAAACTGCTAAGATTACAGGCGTGAGCCACGGCGCCAGGCAATTTGAGCATCTTTAATTGTCCTTGGCTTTGCTCACTTCACATATGGAAGATGGGAAAGCTAAAAATCATGTCAGGTCACCTCAGAATGTCCTTCTTTCTCTTATACTTAGGACATATTTTATCTTAAGTCATACTTCTCAATGTTCTTGAAAAAAATAAGGTGGGAGTGGTGTTTATTTGGCATTTTTAGGCATCAGGCCAAACACCAAAGAGAAAGGCCTGAAATTGCCTGCAGGGACTCCTGTGAGAGCCTCGCCATCTCTCAGCAGGAGAAAAGCAGGGCTTTCCTGGGTTATTTTGAATGCGTGCTGTGTGCTGACCAAACAGACATGGAAGGAAAGAAAACATACAGGACGCTTGCAGGAAAGGCAATGCAAGGCGAGGCGGTGGCCGTCTGCCCTTCCAATTTCCTCTTAGACCTGACATCTCACTGGATTCCAGCAGTTTTCAGAAGTGCCTTCCAAAAGCCAGCTCCTCCTTCCTTCTTTTAAAGCGGCAGCAACATGTCATCGATTAAAACTGCCGTTACGTTTTAATTAAAAGGGTTCTTTCATTCACAAATCATTTTGAGTCAGTCAAAATAATCTCACGCAGGCTCCCAGAGAAACATCCCCACTGCCTAGAACATTCTCCCTTGTGTGCCATCCCTGCGTGGCCCTCCTTTATTTCCGTAGCACTGTTACAAGTCTGTGCCTGAATGCTTTACTTCAGTCACATCCTGTTGCTGAGAATGGAATATCCTGGGTGGTCACAGAGCTCAGGATTCACTGAAACCTAACACCATCCTGAGGCAAGAGGAAGCCTCCAGTAATCAAACAGATGAGAGAGAAACTGTTTTCTTATTTAATGATGTCTACATGTTGAGACTCTCTGATCAGGTACCTGTGTGAGGGACATAAGGCTTGTATGAATCTGCTCTGTTAACTATTTTGAAAGAATAAAATGTCCTGCGACTACGTCCAAAGCAATGATTAGACCTAGAGCAAGACTGTGGTGGGGCAGCCAGCTACATTCCGCAGAGGATTTCATTAGCAACAGAGCAGGAAAAAGGTGACGGTGTGCAGTAGGAAATGGCTCTAAGACCAGCCAAGGGGAAGCACCTGCCATCCACCACCTGGCCTTCCTCCTGAAGCCCCACCTCCAGGGGGGCTCCTCCACCCCCACCCAGGCTTTGTGGCAAAGGGAAGGGCCCAGGCCTTGCCCAGCAGCTTCTGTAGGGGCTGGCACTGGGGCTGGGGGCTGCTGCCCTGGAGTCATTCTGTCTTATTCCCAATTTCAGCTGCTTGTTTCAGTTCGTGAAGACACCTCATTAGTGCGTTGACAACACATATTCTTAACGATCTTTCAGGAAAAGATATTCAGAAAGGCTAAATACGAAAAAAGATTCACACTTGTTCAGCTCTTGATTTCTAATGCTTGATGGAGGCGAGTATGACAGTTTTCAGCAACGTGGCCATGAATATCACCAGAGAGCACCTGTTCTGTCTGGAAGGGGGTTTTCAGTTGTGTCTCGACACAGGCTTGGTCTCTGTGTCTCCGTGGGAGTCCTAACTGCTAACTAGCCAGCTAGACTGACACAAACCCAGGCTCTGGGCCTTGTCTGCTCACTGTGTTCACACCCAGCTGCCATGCCCGGCCCTGCTTTGCTCTCACAATCAGGCAATGCCTTAGTACCTATTTGTTGGCCTTAAATCCAAAGCATTTTCATTTTTCAGAATGCACGACTCTGGTATAAAGCTTTTTCTTTCTCTCTGACTCCTAAGTTTGGTAATTCATATAATGAAGCCTTATCATCCAGTGTGATGGTATTTGAGGGTTCAGCCTTTGGAAGTAATTAGGCTGAGGTTGACCCCATGATGGGATTAGGGCTCATTTAAGGGGAAGACAGAGCACCGCTTGCTTCACGTGCATACACAGAGGAAAGGCCACATGAGTATGCAGCAAGAAGGCAGCGCTCTACAAGCCAGGAAGTTCCTCACCAGGAACAAATCTGCTGGCACCTTGGTCTCAGACTTCCAGCCTCTAGAACTCTGAGAGATAAAGGTCTGTTGTTTAAGCCACTCAGTCTATGTATTTGGTCATAGCAGCCAAAGCTAAGACAATGGTTGAATAAATAAATCTGGACAAATAATAAACAATGTAAAGAAAGCTGTATTTGCCCGTGGCCTTTAGAGTCTACTGCAGTGTGCCTAGGCAAAGAAACGGCAGGAAACATGAGCCACGTACAGGACCAATAATGGATCCTGGATTTCTTCTAGAACTGAGAGGTGAAGCCAGTTGGACTTCCTGGGTCAAGTGGGGACTTTGAGAACTTTTCTGTCTAGCTAGAGGATTGTAAACGCACCAATCAGCATTCTGTGTCTAGCTAAAGGATTGTAAATGCACCAATCGGCACTGTAAAAACGCACCAATCAGTACTCTGTGTCTAGCTAAAGGATTGTAAATGCAGCAATTAGCACTCTGTAAAAATGCACCAATCAGCGCTGTGTCTAGCTAAAGGATTGCAAACGCACCAATCAGCACTCTGTATCTAGCTAAAGGATTGTAAACACACCAATCAGCACTCTGTAAAATGGACCAATCAGCAGGATGTTGGCAGGGACAAATAAGGGAATAAAAGCTGGCCATCCCAGCCAGTAGTGGCAACCCGCTTGGGTCCCCTTCCATGCTGTGGAAGCTTTGTTCTTTCGCTCTTCACAATAAATCTTGCTGCTGCTCACTCTTTGGGTCTGTGCTACCTTTAAGAGCTGTAACACTGCGAAGGTCTGCAGCTTCATTCTTGAAGTCAGTGAGACCAAGAACCCACTGGAAGTAACCAACTCCGGACACAGAACCGCTTGCCAAAGCACCGAGCTGGGGACAAGTATTCCTGGGACAGGCCTTCCTTTCTATGGAGCTCAGTTCCTTGGCAGAGGGTGTCAGACTGGTTGGTCTAAGGGTAGAAAGAGGCTATGCTTCTCTTTAAAAACTGTACCTCTTGGTGGGTATGATGTGTCACCCAACAGGCTCAGGAGGGAAAAGACAGAAATGCTCACGCCCTCATCTCCAAGTGCACTAAGCCACGTTCCCACCCGGGAACTCAAGAGGTAGACTTGCCTGTGGTGTGGGTGTCCTTCCTGCCCTGTGCCGTACTCATAGGATTCCCACATACAGGTTTCTCTGGATACAGCAGGAGCAGCCAGGCTTTCGAGGCTGGGTGACCAGATGACGCCTGAGGAGCCAGCTCATCACCTGGCCTCATGCACAGCAATGCAGAGAACACAAAGGCCTGGAGGGAAGTTTTTATTTATTTATCATGTTTGTAAGTTACAGACATTTACGTTTTCAGCAATAATTTATAACAGTTACATCTCATACTTCAACTATCAGAACAGAGAGAACATTAAAGTACAAATACTTCAAAAATGAGGTTACTGTGATGTATCATAAAAGGAGTTAAAATTCAAAATATCAAAGACCTCACCTACCGAACTAAACATAAATCTTAAAACCTCCTATAGCCTCTGAGCCTGAAGTTACAAAACTTAGTGACTGCTTAAACCAAGGAATTAACAGTTCTGTGTTTTCAAGGTAAGAAAACAAAAATGCTTTGGTAAGCTATCTTTAATACTAGTTTAAATATTTCTGTCCTGTTTGTATCTTGAAAGACTGTATATAAGTACAGGTGCAGCATATATTTGAGAAAATATCTCACAAATTTAATTTACTATAGGTTTCTCAATCATGTTTACATTTAATCAATGAGAAAAGTGATTCAGTCTCTTGAATTTTAAGTTAAAAAAATTAAAAAGTATTTCCAGGGACTCTTAAAGCTCTCTCCAAAAGTATAAAATATTATATACTTTCAAAATCTTAAGCATTCATATTCTTTCTGAGATCAACACAGGATACAAACTTACTCCCAACATAGACGCTCATGTGCTTTTGGGCACACATAGCCTTAGAACAGTGGTCGAACAGCTCACAGGACCCTGTACTCCTCTTCATCCTGGACTGTGGCGGTGACCACAGTCAGACCAGCCCCCTCCCATCTGCCTTCCAGGTCAGATTCCCTGGAATTTATTAAGCTGTCACTCTTCGATGCGTTCTTCCTTGGAGGACTCAAGCTCATTTAGTAAGTCTTTGCCAGCTGCTCCAGCTTTTGAAGCAAAGAGAACTGCTCCCTGCTTAAAACCGAGGTTCTTCAAACTCCTGGCATAATCTGCATATACAGCAGTGATAAGTTTCTGTAAACCATAGCTAAGGAAAAGAAGAGTAAAAAGGGCTGTGATGAGGCTCCGCACAGGCTCCTAGAAACAGGAAAGGTGAGTTGCGTCTGCTCTGCTGGCTGCTCGGAAGGGACCTGGTGTCCACAGTGGGCAGCACAGGATGAACACAGGAGCCTTTTTGTAGGCGGAGGGTGATTCCCAGCTATAGGAGGCCATATCTCAGTCTGTACCATCACTACCTTTCGCATCAGCTGAGGCCAAAGCTTCTCCTTCCAGAGGACTCAACCAACATCCTCCCAGATTCTCCCACAACCTACACTCAACTAAAGATTGGAAGATGAATGATATGAGAAGAGAAACTTAACCTGCATATCCTCATTCCATTTGAAAGTCTGAGAGGCTGGCAGTTTGGGGGCAGATATTTATTTCTCAACATTCCCTATATCTGGATGTTGGGTTTTTAGAAAGCCCTGCCTATTGTTTTTAAAAACTTTTTTTTTTTTTTTTAAACAGCCTATTGGGTACTCTGTGCTGATGCTTTGATCCTCAAAATGGATACACTGAACCAGTCACCTTCCCAATGACTAGGTACATGATCTTGAGTAAGCTCAGGCTTTAGTTTAATTTAAAAAAAAACTTTCAGTGTAGGGCTGGGTGGCTCATGCCTGTAATCTCAGCACTTTGGGAGGCCAAGGTGAGAGGATTGCTTGAGTTGGAGTTTAAGGCCAGCCTGGGCAGCATAGACCTGCATCACTACCAAAAAAAAACAAAACAAAACAACAACAAAAAACCTAGGCACAGTGGTGTGGACCTATGGTCCCAGCTACTGGGGAGGCTGAGGTGGGAGGATTGCTTGAGCCCAGGAAGTCAAGGCTGCAGTGAGCCATGATTGTGCCACTCACTCCAGTCTGGGCAGAAGAGTGAGACCTTGCCTCAAAAACAGGAAAAAAAAAATTTAGTTTAGTCTTAGTTTAATTTTCTATAAGAAAAAAAAAAAAATATATATATATATATATACACACACACACACATGTATATATATACACACACACACACAGAGAGAGAAAGAGGGAGAAAGAGAGAGAGAACCAAGTAGCTGCCATGTAGAAATGAGAGCAAATTTAAGAATTCGAAGCAAAGCAAAGTGTAGTGAGCAGCAGCAGGGCCACACAAGCACTGGCCCAAGTTCATTCTTTTCTGGTCCTGGGAGTTGCATTCTCAAGTTCACTCTTCAAAGAAACCAACGTTGCTCAAGTGACATTTAGAAGAAATAAAATGTTGCGGCTGATGGGTGGATCATGGTGGCTGGCCTGAGCAACACCCCTCTTTAAGTGCTGTATTTTGTACCATTAGAGGTGATCGTGGGAGTCTTTTTTAGTTATTCCAGTTTATTTTTTCTAGATAAATATATAAGATGTATTCCATGGAATGTCTGGTCTGGAAAAAGTACTATCTGAAAGTACCAAGTCCTTCTCCCTGTTCCCCAAATCATTCCTTCATCTTCTTTTAAAGTTCAAACAAGACTTGGGGGCCCTGTCCTCTATAGTCCTTCCTGCCTCCCTCCATTCTAGTCAAAGCTGACACCCACGGTGCAGCCACCTTCTTTTCTGATTCTTTGTCCTCTAATTTCTCCCTCTTTCCTGGCTTTGGCGAATCAGAAAATCAGAACATGGATCTTTCACAACATAATATAGCTCCTGTCCAGGCAGCACAACTAAGGGAAATTCCAAAACCCATGCATGTCACTTTCTTCCTCGTCACTATAAAAACCTTGCAAAGGATATCTGTGTCCTCAGTGACTTCAAATGCTCCATACTTGAGGCAAGCTTCCACAAATAAGGCCGCTCTATCAAAGTATCGCATGCTGCTCAACAGAACAAAACAAGAGTTATGCTTCGTGATTTATGTCACTGGTGGGCAGCACCACTGAAGGGTATATTTCTGTATAAAGACATTTACACATTTTCCCTGGAAACCTTCGTACTACATTAAGATACAAGCACTTTTCTAAGCCCTGGTTTATTAAAAAAAAGGAGGGAAGAATACTCACATCTCCAAACCCAAGCTTTTTAAAATTAATACTTTAAAAAATTGTGAAATAGTTTAAATACACAAAAATCTACAGAGATGACAAGTGCCCATGTACCCAGTATCCAGAGTTGACAAGTAATCTTTTGTCATATTTCCTTAATCTACCTCCCTTAGTTTTGAATAAATGAAATGCTCCACAATTAGTGATGGTTGTTCCTCTTCCAGATTTTCAGACAGGATGTCTCCACCTCACCATGCCTTCTGTCACCTCTCCCCCTGCTCTCTGGGCCTCCTCTCAGTTGCTCTAGTCAAAGCTGAATGGACCCCAATTCTCTGAAGACTTTTAAATTTCTTTTTACTAGGTGCCTGTTAGGTTTGATCAGCATATTAGTAGGAAACTATCATAGCTCCCAGACCAAATGAAGACGTAATGAACATGGACAGTTCCACTCTCCTTTGGGTTTTTTGACAAACCTGAAATGTATACTTCTCCTTTCACTTCACACTGAGTACCACCACCTGCTAGAACCGCGAGAGAACATGAAGTGACTGCTCACGGGCAGTCCTGAGCAGCCCATGTGAACTCTCGGTTTACCTGTGAAGCGTCTCTGCCACGCTGAAAAAGCAGCCCAGAGAGAGGAGGACCAGGAGAGCCTTTGATTTCTGATTGACTTGTGGAGAACAAAGGTGGTCAACCCACCGCTTTAAAACATCGGCACACTCCTCAGGATTCAAACGGACCTGAGAAAGACGCCTGTGTTAACAACAAAAACATCCTGCACTCTATAAAGAAAAAATAATAATTCCGTTAAAGTGAGATTTGTTCCTATGAAACACAGGCTAGGCTCTGCTTGACTAGAACACTGCCCTGAAATGAAGCTGCTGCATACCCTGAATGATGCTAAGTCTGCGCCTACAGGACCCAATACCTCTGGACTGTAGTTCAGGCTCAGACTCTAGGAGGAAGAGGAGGCAGCTGCTTTTACTTAATTGCTACCAATGCAAGATCCATTTTTAAATAAGTAATGCTATTTACACTATAAAGAATAGGAAAAGGATGAAGGTTGCAAGGAAATATTTGCAAAGCAGCTTTGCAGCCCAAAAAATGTTTCTAAGTCATAAGTCCAAAGTTCAGGACTGAACTTTCTATCCCAAATGTTGAGGGCACCTACTGAAACTTGGAACCACCTACTTTCGCCAGCCATGCAGCCCGATTCCACTCGCCGTATGTCTGCAGGTAGCGACAGGCATCTGCAGCCTTGTCTATCAGACAGAGCAACTGAACGCCCTCTGAAAGACAAAAGCACATCCCCTCAAGTGACACTGCAGCTCTTTCTTTGAGAAGTCATTAAAAAGTTAAATCCCCATTTGACTTTATTTAGTCTTGCCCATTTTATACCTACTGAAGACAGGCTTGATTTAAATTTTGAAACATAATATTAAGGGTTTTACTGTTATTTCTCAAGTAACCAGGGTAGGAAGCACAATACAGTCTGGAGAATAAGTAGGGAAAGCATAGTCCTCTCACAGGTTTTATTGTTCTGGTTTGCCTAGGATTGTTGGATTTATGCCTATTATCTCAGCAATTATTAATAGTGCCCCCTTTCACTCTGAAAAGTGTAAACAATTAACTCTGGTTTAGACAATTATAGTCATCTGATTTATAGGTAGCAATAATTCTTTTTCTTCAGCATATGTAAAAAAGAAAGAAATGTCCCTACTAATCAAATACTTTGCTGGGAACAAGGTCTCATATTTCAGAGAGATGACAAATATATCATGTGTGCCTTACCTGCCAGTTTGCCATTGGCAATCATATTCGTCGCCACCAACTTAATGGTGCTCTGAGAGGGGCCTGATGAGGTGACAGTAGTGACTAAACAGGCTTTCAGTGAATCACAGTAATAATGCTGGTTATCTGCACTTGTTTCCAACAGCAACTGCACAGCTCTGTCTGTCTAGTAAGAGAAATGGTTTTTCTAATTACGAGAACATTTTCCTCCAACATAACTTTTTAAAATTCATAATGTGGAAAACTAAAGGAAAACACTCATTTTCAAAAACTGCAATTGAATATTTTGTTTACAAATACAAAAATTAAACAGAGGTGCTATACTACTATTTTGAGACAAACATAAAGCCAGAGTCTGGTGTATCTAGGTGCTCAAGTAATTGCCTATTTTAGCTTCGCACCAGTCAATTCAGACACAAAAACAAAACAAATAGCTGGGCTCCACTGGACATTATGGAAGTCTAAATTACAAGCTGGTTAACTATATATTTTTACTTTCTTATGAGGTTTATTGGTATTATTTTGAAAGAAAGCCTGAACTGTCTATAGGCAAGGAGGTACATTCAAGGGGAAAATACTATGAGATATATACATACAGATATATTGCTCTGAAATACTAATTAACTAGCAATTTAATGAAGCATGTAAAGAGTTACAAAAACTCACATACTTGACCCAAGAGTAGGAGCTGGTCTGTACATTTCCTTGTATGATCATAAGTTGACCGTTTCACTTCCTGTAGATTAACCCTTTCTAGCTGAAATTTCTAGAATTGGAAAAAAAAAGAAAAATTAAGCCTAGATTGTAAGAGTCTGGAATTATTTAAATTTTACTGTACTTAATAAGATCATTTTAATAAACTACTTTGACTTTTCAGGTTAATAATCAACTTTACAGCGTTCCAAACATTTAATAAGAATTTGAAAAGAAAAAATGTTGATAGATATTATCACTTGAATGCATACCTGCCTCCCTACAGAAACTGATGCTTAAATGGAGCTGGATAAAAAATCTATGTGCACTGAAGTATTCTGCAGGAAGTTAAAGAAATTATGATGCGAACAGCAAATGCACACCAGCACCTGACACAGAGAACTCATTTTAGAAGCGGGAAGCAGACCCAGAATCACCCTGTGATTCGTCTCCCACGGTGAGGCTTCATGGATGTTTGTAGCATGGATGTTTGTATACATGGATGTATAGTATAGCAAAAAAATACTATAAAGTATTTGTTATTTATAGAAAATTAATGACAATTACAATGAAGCTAACTTAAAAATGTAAGACAAATTAAACAATTAAGACTGTTTAATAATAAAATTTTAATGCTTAGTAAAAAACTCAGTAATTGCCTATGAGCTTTTCAAATCCTGAATCAGGCTCTTTTTAATGCAAATGTACCAAGGGCTTCCTTCCTCTCCTTCCTTTTCTTCCTTTCCTTCCTTCCTTCTCTCCCTCCCTCCCTCTCTCCCTCCCTCCTCTCCCTTCCTTTCTTTTTTTTTTTTCTTTTTTTTTTTTTGAGACAGAGTCTTGCTCTGTTGCCCAGGCTGGAATGCAGTGGCACGATCTCAGCTCACTGCAACCTCCACCTCCTGGGTTCAATGATTCTCCTGCTTCAGCCTCCTGAGCAGCTGGGACTACAGGCACGTGCCACCACACCCAGCTAACTTTCAAGGGTTTATTTCTATTACTGAACAGTAACTTATTTGAAAGTTTCCCAAGTTTAAGATATTGACAAAGATATAAGTAATCAAGATGACAGCTCTAAAGGTTTCGCTATGTGAAGTAGACTACCTGAAAGTAGGCATTTTCGCAGAGCACATCATAGCATATATCCAGTGGGTTGCTTAGTTTGTCTTGAGGAGCAGCTTCTTTAGGAGCTGTTGTGCTGGCTGACTTTTCCTGGGATAAGCTGTGCAGATAGTGGGCAGCAACAGTCCAGAAGTGCAGCTCCGATTCGTCACCATAGAGCCTAGCAAGAATGAAGCAACGTTTCAACTGCACTTACAGCACACCTGGCCTGGATGGCTTGCTAGAGTAGACTGAAGGACTAGAAGAGAGTGTTGTCACATGTCCACTGGGATACTGGCATGGGACCTGGCAGGGTGAAAGGGGGAGGCAGCAAGTTCTCCAGCCCTGCTACTGGGCCTCCAACAATACAGGGACCTGACTTCATAGGACCCCTTCAGACCCCAACATCTTTCCGTTCTGTGTTAAGAACAATTATTTACCTGGTTTGCCATTAGCACACCTTTCAATGTGGGCCACTGATTCACATTAGGAAGAAGTTCCTCTGGGATAACTGGCTAGATAAGGTACGAAAGTAATGTGCTATTTATTCTGTAGGGAGAGGAGTCTTTTTTTTACAAGTGACAAACTCTACTGTAAGTCAGGATATACAGGTTGTTGCTTCTAAATATAATTTATTGTTATATTTAAATATATGCAGTTTGTATCTGATATTTTAAAACACATATTTTAAAAAGCTGTAGGAGGGAGTGCTTTCCAGAGAGAAGGCCTAGATCTCACATTTTAAATGCAATTTGATTTTTTCCCGATTTGTTATTACTATCGAAATTATTTGAAGTTAAATCTAAAGGATGAACTGATACATTTTTCTAAAATCTAAGTGTTTGTAACTAAAAACCCTTAAAAAAAACGAGTTGACTTGAAATCCTTATACAGAATACATCAAACAATATTACCTTGAAACAAGCAGGCACCTCTGCAAGAGAGTGAATTCTGGATCAAGCAACAGTTTCTTTATCTCACTGCGGAAGGAATCCGGACAAAAGAAAGACAAAAGTTTTCAATCAAACAATAAAGCATGGGGGTTGACCAATATACTCTTGAAATGAAAAATTCCAGTCAAATAACATGTGTAGAATTTACACAAGACAAGGTACTTTACTATGACACTGAAATCATAAAAGTTGAAGGGGGCTGAGCGTGTTCTCAAGGCTTGGAGAAGTAGCAGCTTTTGGCCACCACAGGGAGCTGCAGCGCTCATTTCTGGTTTACAGGCTTACAACAGTTTTTGAAAGTATCAGCTGCCTAACTACTGGAACAAGAATGCCATTGTTGACAAAGTCATTTTGCTAATCATCAAGAACAGTAAATACTTTAAAGAAGATGACATTCGTAATTTATTCTAAAACTATTCCAAAAATAAAGTATCTAAGGAAGAATGGTTAGTGCTTTTATAAATTGATGTTTCTAAAATAGTCAAATACTGAATATTCACAAATCAGGCAGGAAGATATTCTTTAAATCCATAGTTTCTCATTTAAACATAAATGTTAATCTTTGCATAGAAAAAACTAATTATTTTGAATTTTCCATCAATAAAATCTCACATGTTTAATTTGTTAAATACTATAATTATATGTAACAGATTCCAGACTGCGAACATGTGTTATGCTTTCCCCAAGAACTCCCTGTAGGCCCATATTTTTTCCTTTCTTATTCCCAGTACATTCTGTTAAATGCCCTTGGCTCTAAGGAGCACATTCATTTCTTAGCCAGACTTGTGCACACCAGCACCTGACACAGAGAACTCATTTTAGAAGCGGGAAGCAGACCCAGAATCACCCTGCGATTCGTCTCCCACTGTGAGGCTTCATGGACGTTTGTAGCAGACGCAGGCTGAGCTACAAGGACGCTCACACTATGCATCTAGTCCTGCCCTGATGTGAGACCAGAGCAGCTGGTGCTCATGAACTTGGTGAAGACAGATGCTCTCTCACTGTAACTACTGAGTAAGTACTTTTTCTGCAAAACACAGACTCTAAAGGGAGGCAAACCTCTGTAAACAGAATGGTCTCTTCTTGGGCCACTAATACTTTCTAAAACATAACATTTTAATTTTGAAAAGTTGAATTATATTTTTCTTTCTCATATTCCTATTTTTTAATAAAACATGGAGTGCTTACTTAGACAATGAATTCAACTGCTCTTGGAGGAGATTCTTTATTTCTTCATTTTCTGGATAGTCACTGTAAAGAAAAGATTCTGAATGAGTTCATTATCTCTTCACTTAAAACCATGTATTTCTTCACCTCAAAAAAGTTGTGTTAATATAGAGATAATCTTCTTTGTAGTTCTTGGTTAAAAACCTGGTGACAGACCAAAATAACAAAAATCTCCTCAGGACCCCACCAATCAACTTTACATCTGCTTGTATCTTATTGAGTCAAAAACAACAAAACGAGTAAAGAAAGTCTCCTTGGCTTTCAAGAAACCAGGAAATTTATTAGCAGGCTTTAAAATCTATCAGGTTAGATTCCTTTTAATGAAGAACTCAGCAATAACTAAAGGAATCTGCGCATTCACTAAACTCTGCAGAATGAATATTCTGAGGAGACAGTGCTTGGAGAACAGACACTTCCTGGCATTACTTTTAAATGCCCCATCCGTGCTGCACATGGCAGGAGTTCAGTAATATTTGTGAATTTAATTAATAATCACTAATAGTTTCTGTGAATATTTTTTTGCAATGAGGCAAATATTAAGATTTATAAGACACAGTATACCCCTGCAGCTAATGATGCTGCTTTTAAAAAGAATGTGCCTGGCTCCAAATTCCCCTGGCTTCCATTGCCCTCTTCACACGCATCCTTTTCATCATCATGACACATCCATGTTCAGACCATAAGACAAGCACACAGACACCTGAGAGCAATACATGCCCTCACAGCTCCTCACTGACCCACACTTCCACAAAGGCCCCTGAGAACCCAGAGGCAGCCTGGCAATTCTGTAGTGTCTCTACCTTCTCTTGGCTTTAAAGGCTCCATTCTCTTTAAATGCTGGAGTACAGGCCATGGCTGACTTTCATGGGTGTCCTTCAACCCCAAGCAAATTATGAAAGAAAAAGAAAAATGAAAAAACTTACACATGAGAAATGTCCAAAGAATACTGTCCATTCCAAGGCTGGTGTAATAAGAAGGCTTTCAAGGCAAGGGAGGCCCTTGGAACAAGCAGATAGGGGCACCACACAGGCTCTAGACAACAAAGAAGTTTTCAAAAATAAAATGAAGTTTTACATTACAATGAAGTTTCAGCTGTAAATCATTTACAGAGTAGTCAGCAGAGAGCAACAGGTAAATCTGGAACAACTGAGAGAGTATATTCAATGTAGTCACTGCTTAGAAACATAAGCCAAGAGCAGAGAGTCTCTGTATTCAAATCTGATTAACATATTCTTCTTCCCCCCATTTTATTTTATTTTATTTTATTTTATATTTTATTTTAAAGACAAAGTCTTGCTCTGTCACCCAGGCTGGAGTGCAATGGCGAGATCTTGGCTCACTGCAACCTCCGCCTCCTGGGTTCAAGCGATTCTCCTGCCTCAGCCTCCCAAGTAGCTGGGATTATAGGCACCTGCCACCATGCCTGGCTAATTTTTGCATTTTTAGTAGAGATGGGGTTTCACCATGTTGTCCAGGTTGGTCTTGAACTCCTGACCTTGGGCAATCTGCACACCTTGACCTTCCAAAGTTCTGGGATTATAAGCATGAGCCACCACAACCGGCCTTCTTTTCCCTTTTTAAATTTAAGTATCCTGTGTGGTATACAACTCTGGTACTACTTGAGTAAAGGATTCAATGCAATGACTCAACAAATAACAATAAAGTTCATTATTTTTAAATATTAAAAATAAATATATTTACCTGTATGTGCCTTTTGTACTTTTGTTTTTCTGAGACTATTCAATTAACATGGCCTATCAACCTTGAGTATGTCACTGAAGGGATCAGGCCACCTGTGATCACTAGCATTCCCAGGTCTCACTTATAATGGCAGCCCTTGAACACAGGGGCTATCTTCTTAGACTCTAGGCCCTAGCATCCCCCACATCCAGCAGCTGGCTTACTTAGAACACTAACAAACAAGATTTGCCTAGTTGTCAACATGTTTCAGTGCAAAGCAGCAGAAGACCTAAAGGCTGCAATGCCCAGCAGCTCTGCTCTGACCACCCTATACTCTATAGGACTCGACCTTAGCTCTAATTTTCTAGGGCTGCCTTGGCTGTTACAACTCGGCCTTATTACCAGCTCCCCTCCAGAATCCTGCACAGGCTTTATCCATGGATCCCTTGAATAGATACAATTATGTAAAATGACACAAACTTATAAACAGCTAAATAGCGTTGGCTTATTTAAGTGACTGTATTTGTCCGTTTTCATGCTGCTGTAAAGAACTACCTGAGACCAGGTAATTTATAAAGAAAAGAGGTTTAATTGACTCACAGTTCCGTATGGCTGGGGAGGCAAACTTACAATCATGGCAGGTGAAGGGAAGCAAGACACATCTTACATGGCAGCAGGAGAGAGAGAGTGAGGGGGCAAGTGCCACACCTTTAAGCCATCAGATCTCCTGAGAACTCAGTCACTATTGTAAGAACAGTAAGGGCGAAAGCTGCCACCATGATCCAATCACCCCCCACCAGCTGCCTCCCCTGACCTGTGGGGATTACAATTTGACATGAGATTTGGGTGGAGACACAGAGCCAAATCCTATCAGTGATCCACATCAACCTTAGACTGTGCAATTATCCAGTATTATATCCAATATGATAGTCACTTAAAATATGGCTAGTATAATTAAAGAAATGAATGTTTGTCTTATTTAATTTAAACTTAAAAAGTGATTATTGATTCAGTCATTGAATAACTTTTAAGTATGTGTGAAACAACTTGAATACATTACTAGTTTTCAACTGAAAATTTCATAAAATCTAAATAGAGCTTGACTGTTTCTGCTGAAAATTTGTCCTCTAAATTTAGAGGGCAATTCAAGTTATTTTACAATAAATGTAAAATACTCACTGAATTTTGAAGAATGAATACTTTAAAAAAAGTAAAATGTCTCACCAGTAACTTTTAATACTGATTATATGTTGAAATAAAACTTTGGATATATTGGCTTAAATAACATTTTAATTAAAATAAATTTCATTTTTTTTTAAATGTGAAAAATTTAAACTTACATATGTGGCTCACATTATGTTTCTATTGGAAAGCTCTGCTTTAGAAAACTTCATTCTATGTAGTTAAATAAAAATTAAATTATACATAAAATATTTTATGTGGACTTTTCCATTTAAAAGCCAGAAAGTGATTGGAAATATTTTTAATAATACTTTTTTTACACCCAAGAATTTTAACATTGATTCAGTAAAATCACTTAAAATGCAGTCCAAATTCAAAAGTCCCTTGTTATTCCCCAAATGTCCCGAGAGCTATATTATTTTTAAAAATCTGGGGCCCAGTCAAGGCTGGTACACTGCATTGTCATGTCTCTTTAGTCTACTCCAATCTAGAACGCTCCTCCTCCCTTTTGGCTTTGGCCTTACATGACCTTTTCATTTTTGGAGTCCTGGTCAGCAGCTGTGGAGAATGCCCTACGTTCTAACTTCTCTGTTTTCTGATTATCAGACTCAGGTTAAACATTTTTGGCAGAGTCTGAACAAAGGATGTTGTGTACTTTTCACTGCATTGCACCAGAAGGAACATGTTAGCTGTCTGGTTACAGGAAACACTAACTCTGATCATCTAGATAAGGGGTATTCACCAGAACTTCCTTATCAGGGCACCTTCCCCCCTGTATAATTAATTAGTAAGTAACATGTGGGGGAAATACTGTCAGATTGCATTTCCTATTCTCAAACATCCTTTTACTCAGTGATCTGACATCCACAAGTGATCCTTGTTTGAATTAATTATTGTATCAGGGGCTGCAAACTGCTGACTTTCTAATCTTATTATTTCTGCATTCGTCAGCTGGCATTCTTCTGTCCACCTGAGCTTTTGCTTCTTGCCCACTTCCCCTTTCCTTACTGTGACTATTACTATTGAGTGAGGGTTTCTTTGGTATTCTGCACTTACATCAATACCACCATTAGTTTACATGATGCTCAGACTACCCCCAATTTGACAGGAGAAGCCTCTTATGTCAGGTCCTCCTCGGTTTTTCAATTCCTTACTTGAGTTCCGGCACCACGCAAGATGCCCCAGACCCATCTTGCACTTTTTGTGCCTCTGTCCTGAAATAAACTTTTTGTCCAAGGACCTCTGGCTCCTTTTAGCCTGGAAATGGAATTTACAAAGTAAAATCTGGGTGCTATGTGTGCTCACTGCCATTGAGTGTCATTGCAAGAAAACTCTCTGTGAGCAGAGCCAGGGAATATACATGTTCAAGAAGTCATGATTTTTTATCAATCCAAATCCACCCTTGGAGTGTTTCTTCCCACCACCGCCACTTCACATCTGCATCTCCCTTTCTATCAGCACAGACCCTGGTTCCCAAAAACTGCAATTTGGTTACTAATTTGTTCCAGGCTATAACATGCACAAAACAGCTTCAGAATTACTAGTGCCACTGTCAACTACTCAAGTAAAGTTCAACATTCCTTAGCAATTCTGTCCTTAGAATATAAACCACTAAAGGTGTGCAGTGAGTGAGAAGTTCTGTGTTTTAGTTATTTGAACTGTTTTTTTTTGTGTGTAGTTACGTTACCAATATTTGTTATACAGTTTGGTTCAACTGTGTCTTGTATTCAATTTTAGGGTTTGCTTTTTCTTTCACCCTTGTTTTCACTGTATATTTTGAATATGTAAAATACATAAATGGTTCAAAACTTGAAACTATATAACAAATATAGAGAAGTTTCACTGCTATCCCCATAGTCTCCATTTTTCCATCTACATCCTCTAACTATTCTCATTGGTTTCTGGATTATTCTGTGTACGTGTGTGTTAGTAAGCAAACATATGTGTGCATGCACCTATGTATAAAATTCACCTTTGCACACAAGCAGGCTATACATACTCTTTTACACTTGCATTTTTCACTTACACATATCCTGGATATCACTCCACATCAGGTCATAGAGCTATTCCTCACTATTTTACAGCTGCATAGATTATTCCATTCTGCAGATGTCCCCAAATTTATTCAACCAATCTCCTATGGCTAAGCAGTTAGGCTTTTTCCAAAATTTTGCTATGAATAAATTTGTGTGCATTTTGGTCACAATGTACGAATGTACATCTTAAAATGTATGAATGTACATCTTAAATTCTAAGCACTGGGATTGCTGGGTAAAAAGGTAAATGTGCATGTAGCTCTGTTAGATATTGCCCAATTCTTTCCTACAGGGGTCTCACTGTGAGCAATGGATGAGAGTGCTTGTTTCCTCACAGCCTTGCCAACACAGTATATTTTCAAGCTTTTGAATCTGACAGGTAAGAAACAATTTTAATTTGTATTTTTCTCTTTTTAAAATTTTACTTTTTAAATTTCTTTTTCTTCTTTTATCCTTACCAGTAAGAGGTCAAATATTTTTTTTATTATAAATAAAGTTGAGTATCATTTCATATGTTGAAGGGTCATTTGTTTATCTGTTTTTCCCCTCTGTACACAGTCTGTGACTTGTAAATTACTTTCCCCCGGGTGATCATTTGTATTTGGCTTGCTTATTGAACACTTTATTTTATTCTTATTAAAGCTTTTCCTTTGTTTTGAATTTTTTTTTTTTTTTAATTTCTACTTAGTCATCTTTTCTTTTACATCTGGGCTATAAAGGAAGGATTGTATCTTGGAAAAATGAGGCTTATCTAACTACTTTCAGAAGCACTGAACACTTAGCACTGAAAAGGATGCAGGTGGCTAACTTACTTACTTTTCTTTCTATTCATCCCTCATAGATGACAATGTATATAATTCTCAAGTCAGCCCCACTCATGTTTTAGATGGTATATGTGTATGTTCTAGGTAGATTCATGTAGTAGTTGTTGGTATTACATCACAGTATGTTTGGAAATGGTAAATGTCAGGGAAAAAAATTAATTATACATAATAATCTTGGAATGGTTCAAGGAAAGTTCTCATGCTGTGTGGTAATTTCTTAATCAATGAACAAATGAAAAGATACAAGAGCATCCACGTAGAAAGCAGCATCGACTGTTCACATCATGCAAGCAAGACAACATTGACCAAGTCTGAGTAAAAGGAGGGAAATATCTTATTTTTAAAAACAAATACATGCTATTTCCCCAAAAGCAAAATATTGTTGACAGCATCCCAATGAGCATGAACAAACTGAAACTGACCCTAACTACTTCCCTCCCTCAAGTGAATTTAAATCTTTCTTCTGAAGGGTAAAGATCAGCCACGAAAAAGTAATAGGTGATCAACTCACAGCTGTAGAAACTCACCTGCAAGAGCTCATTCACCTCTTAAAATTACACAATTAGAACGCAAAAGCAGTTAGCATCACTGCTGTTTGTCATAGATTCTGCTCCATCTGGGCTAAAGTTATGTGAGGTGTGAATCATAACATCCCGGTTTTTAGCTACCTACATGACAGGAATGTAGAAAATCAGTAACCAAAGAGCCAAGAAGTAAAGCAGTAGAAAAAAGTTACTCCTCCACCACTTGGAAGAGGCAGCAACATTAAGGTGAGCTGGAAGTCTGGGAAGAAAAGGACCCTATTTTGTGATTTTGTTCAGTGTGATTCAATGAGCGGGGAAAAAGAGAGCTAAGGAACACTACTGGTGTTCGGGCAGGACAATTCTTCATTGCACTAGATCGTTCCAGGTTGTTTAGCATCCCTGGACCTCCCCTCATCTGCAAGTCATTGTGAGACATTTCTGAACGCCCCAAGATTACCGAAAATGACTGCGGAAAGCTGTGGCACATGAAGAGGAAAGGTTTGTGCATAAATCTGATTTTGGAAAGCTTCCTTCTATATATGCTTACTTAGGAAAAATGTGCTTAGCAGTGGCCTTTAACACGGGGGAGGAAATTAGGTTGAACAGTCCCTGATATCAAGTCAACACTATTTGAAGGGTGTGGAAACTGCATGATACTAGAATGCTATTAAACAAATCTCATACTGTTACATTCCTTTTAGATGTGGCTAAAAAGACTATTAAGATTTATTTTGATGGCACTTTATGTCCCTGACAAATTAGGCAGCAGATAAGAAAGGTTCTCCAACTCAAAAACAGGAATTCTAATCTTCAAATTTGACTGCCCTCTTTATTGGAGGAAGAAGTGGCCTATCTAAGCTGCTCTAAAAAAATGTACAGATGTGAATCAATATTTTATGATATTCTCTACTTATCAAGGAGAATTGAAGAAAACATAGGAAATACCAATGTCTATGACCTATTTTATTTTTATCCCACGTCAGTAAGCCCCAAATATACTTCTAATTCCTCAGAATAGAAATATACTATATTAAGCTTATTTTCCCCAAGACCAAATTGGCCATGAATCTGGAGGTGAACACACAGATGTCTTTTTTCTCATTTCACATTTACACTACCACAGTTTTCATTCTTTAACATTTATTGAGGGTTGTTCTGAGTTTAAAGCTCAATTTGTGGAATGAATACCCAATTGCATTGACCTTTCCTGATTGCTATTTGGATTTTTTTCCTCTTTCTGGCTGAGGCTATAACATTCGAGATTGAGAAGAATTTTAAAAAATATATATTAGAAAAATTTTAAAAGAAACATGTGATCTAAAATCTGGCCACAGGCTAGATGTTCAAGTACGGTATTGAACATGGGTTAATATGGTAGACTCCATTTCTGTAGTCAGTTTAAGAACAAGCTACACCTTGACTTTGGAGCTTTTTAGATTCAAATTTTTTATTAGAAGTGAAGGAAAAGCTCTCCAAACATGTAGACTGCAGTTCCACACTTCTTTACCTAGAATTAGTAACTAATTTTTTTCAAAAATCACCCTTGAAATTCCTTCAATTTCCTCAATACCTTTAGGTTTCAAATGAATACCAATGCTTGCCCTTTCCTAGGAGGCCATCCTGATGCTTCCCCAGAGCTGGCAAATGACTCAAGGACAGACACGGGAAAGCAGGTCTTGAATTCTGGCTTCACCTGCTGGCAGTCAGTTACACAGTAAGAAGTGGTGGTGCCCAAATGCAGTGGGCAGGGGTGGGCGGTGACAAACACCAAAGCACACCTAATGTAAGCTAAAGACGGCCCCACTAACATCAGCAGCAACTTGGTAGGCCTCAAGCATGAGCACAAAGTGAAAAACCAGGTTTTCAAAACCTTACTGTGTCTGAAGTGCCAAATACTGACTCTACAAAGGTTCAGAAAAGTCTCATGAAATTTTATATGTATCAGCCTGGAGTGTGCACCAAAGTTGTGCTGGGAGAATACCCAGGCAAGAAGTTCCCTCCTCTGCTCCAATTAGGATCAACTATCTTCCAAGGATGAACACTGTATTTCATCAGCCAAAAGCTGCCTTTTAAACTGATAAATGGATGCACTCACAATCATCCCATTCTTTTTTTTTTTTAGGAGTCACATATGGGGTATATTCTACTAAAATGTTTTTTATTCTGGTAAAAAGCAATATCAAAACAACCATACAAAAGAGAGCAAGATACTGCAGTCTCCTAATTTGCTTGACTAGTCATTTTACTAGTCACAGATTGGCATCAAAATTCATAATACTCAGAACACTTTGCAAAGTGACTTTTCAATGATATATGGTTGCAAAAGATGTAAGGCCATTATTTAAAAGCCAGCAGTCTTATCACTAGATTTATGTCCTCTGATGAGTTCGCCTAAATTCTGGGTAAGCCATTTTTATAAATGTAAACATCTTTTATCTTGTTAACAAACCAAAGAAAAGAGTCAAAAAAAGGGGCACTTATAAAACCTGAGTTGGGAATAACTGACATCTATAGTTACGAAGACTGCAGCATCTCAGCAGTAAAAACACTCAAGCTTCAACTTAACATATTTTCTTAAACTCAGATTCTAAGAAAATAAGACTGAAATGAAACAGAAGCAGCAGCTCTCTCCCCAAAATATAGCAGCTTGTGGCAAAGTAAAGACAGGTTCCAAAGACCCCATCATTAGGATTCCATACCGGTTAACTCCTGTTCATCCATTCGAAAGCACGCAGACTTCATAGACATCTCTAGGACTCTGATGCACCCATCATCTGAAGCCAAGATCACTTTATCTGACGTACACCAGTCCACATCCAATATACGAAAGGTCACATTTCTGCCACTTCTTAAACTGCTCACCATCTGAACCTTCAAGAGTGAATTTGGGCATCACTTCCAGACAGAAAAGGAAGATGTTTATTATTCTAGATTAAATGGTCAAGGAAGACAGTCTGTGGCAAAGGCCCAGTGCAAGCTGAGAACTGGGCAGCCTCTGGCAATCTTCCTTCCACAAAGAGGCAGCGTTTTAAAGGTCTCAAAGACAGTGATAATATTAAAAAATAAATAAATCGGCCGGGCGCGGTGGCTCATGCCTATAATCCCAGCACTTTAGGAGGCTGAGGTGGGCAGATCACCTGAGGTCAGGAGTTTGAGACCAGCCTGCCCAACATGGCGAAATCCCGTCTCTACTAAAAATACAAAAAATTAGCCGGGTGTGGTGGTGGGTGCCTCTAATCTCAGCTACTCAGAAGCTGAGGCAGGAGAATTGCTTAGAACCTGGGAGGCGGAGGTTGTGGTGAGTCGAGATGGCACCATTGCACTCCAGCCCGGGTGACAAGAGCGAAACTCCACTTCAAAATAAAAAATAAAAAATAAAAATAATAAAATAAAATAAATAAATCTTGAGTTGTTACCTTTAGAACAGAAATATCGTAAAGTAAAAGTTTTTAAAAGAAAATAATTTGTTATGAGAAACTTGACAAACTCATTAAGTACTTTTCATTTCTAAATCGGAAAGAAGTATTTTTTTTAACAAAGCACAGTTCCTATGGCTAACAATCCATTTACATTTTTTCCTCATGGAGAGGGCCTACCTCTTTGGTATCCCACACTTCAGCTCCATCATTGTACATTGCTATTAATTTTTGATTTCCTTTACCAGGAGCAAAACGAATCTTCCTCACCCAACTTCGGTGTGTAGGTATTCCTCTGAAGACAAAGAGACAAAAACACCAATACAATGTAGAGTGAGATCTGGTCATCAGAAGCTATGTCTAATGTCTCTCACTATTTCCAGTTCTGACAGGTCTGATGATGGGAGAACCCTTTACTTGCTAGGACTGGGGGCCACATCTGACAGGAAGGTCCTGTCCTTTAAGGTCAGCTAAGACTTCTGCAGAAGCCACTTGCAGACAACTATCTCCTAAGAATGACTGGCTCGAGCCCCATCCTCCCAAGTTTAGGTGAAGGGACCCAAGGTTCCAAGCTACACTTCCACGAGTTTACTGATCCTGCTTGCCAAGTCACAAGCCTCTAATGGAACCATATCAAGACGTCATTTTTTTTTTTTTAAACAAAAGAACAAGATTTCATTCTTGGCTTATACCTGGATACTCTGCCTTTCAAGTCCCAGAAATTTAAATTTCCATCCATATCTCCAAGCACTAATGTATCACCTTTCCAAGCGATGCAGGTAATACTACCCATACTTCCCTAGAAAACAACAGCAACAAACACATATAAATTTCACTATGCCGTATAAGACATCATGATAAATAAATATTTTAATAAAACTTAATTTAAAGGGCTGTGCTTTAGTATGCTTTTAGTCATCAAATCCTAAAACAGACTTCAGACACTAACAAAGAGCTACACTGCCTATCAATTTCAACTATGAAGAAATAAGAGACTGCAACTTGATAGACATTAAGTAGTTACTGGAACTAGATTTAAAGAGAGGGTATGTCTTTTGAGGAACAAATACCTCAAAACAAAAAAAAAAGGAAATTAAAGTAACAAAAGGAGAGACGTAAAGGGAAGGTTTTCCAGAGAGCCTACTCAAACTTATCTCACACTGCCTTTAAAAGGATAACTAAATCCATTCCAAGGGAAACTTAAAGCTCTTTTATAACTAATTGTGTGGTGATTTTTCTATTGAAAAATAGGATCCAGAGTTTCACTGATACCTTTTGGAACACTGTGGAATCATGAAGGTGAAGAAATGCTGTTTACTAAAGGCATATGCAGTTTAAATTCATAGAAAGCTTTGCACAGAAGTTACATAAAGAAGCACAATATAAGAATGAAATGCTGCTATAATCAATCTAACTTGGAGGAAGAAAGGAATAAGAAAGGAACTTGCAGTTCTAACAGATGCTTAGAGGTGGTATCATGGAGGGTTCAGCAGCCTGGGCTCTGGAGTCAGACTGCCTGGGCTTGAATCCCAGCTTGAAACTGGCATGTGATTTGAGGTATGTTTACTTAACCTTTCTGTCTTGGATTTATTGTCAATAAAGAAGTTTGTGAAATTTGAGTTGTTGCTAATATTAATAAATTTATAAAGGCAGCAGCCTTAAAGCAATGCCTGCCATGCAGTAGTCAATACATGTTAGCTATTAAATAATATTACTGCTATTTATTAAAAGAAATCTTGTTTTTGCATTTATTGTACAATATAAAAATTCAAATGGTATCCATGGTAAAAAGTAAGAAAATTCTAGTGGTTTGAATAATTGACCATTAGTAGACTAGCATACACACTGAATACGGCATAAACTCTGGTAATAGTCAAGAAACCAAACAACAACTGGATTTAAAAATCAATATTATAATAAAGTAAATTAATTAAAAAACTTAGTTATATTAAAGAAATGAAATTCTGTATAATATGAAGCAACACTTTAAGATATCTACTTTCCTAACAATATAATAGAATGTTAATTAAGAAGTTGCCTTTGAAGAGACTTCTGAAACTAGGTCATAATAGATTCTGTAACTTCCTTCTTGCCGTCTCAGATCATGTGCTCTAGGAGAGGCCAGTTGTCATGCATGAGGATACTCTAGCAGCCTTACAGAAAGACGGACATGAGGAAGAACTAAGGTCCCTTGTCAACAGTCAGCATTAATGTGCAATAGCCTTGTGAGTCAGCCATCTTGAAAACGGATCCTTCTGCCCCGTCACACTTCAAAAGACTAGCCACAGCCAACATCTAGATTGTAACTTTATGAGACCCCAAAGCCACCTATAAAATTATGGGGGTTGGCATTCTACTAGAGCATTCTATTTTTAGATGGCAATTTAAAATAAATATACATATTTTTAAAAATCCCCTCATGCCTTCATTTAACCATTGTAATAGCCTGTATTAGTTAACATAAACATTTTCATGATCCATCTATTAAAAACTATCTATGAGATGCATGCTGACACAAATGATTAATGGCAAAACTTTAGTTACAGATTCCACAAGGCCATAAGAAGGAAATATGTAAGTTAGTAAATGTTAATAATACTATTACACTTACAACCTGATTACTATTATCCAAAAATAATACTAGATTGTAAGTCAAATCCTTCAGGGTAATGCCTGAAATGGAAAGAAGACAGATACTGAAGTCAGACAGGCCTGAGTTTAAAACACTGCTCTGCCATATAAGTAAGCTGGGTAACCTTGGGAAAGTTACTTATTCTCTCTCAGTTTTGTTATAGGTAAAATGGAGATAACTCCTCATGGATTATTATGGGGATAAAAATGAGTAGCACGCAGTAAACATTTAATCAAAATAGTTACAGCGTTATTCTCCTGCAGTATTCTCTAGCAGGTTTAATCGAAGATAATATCTCCTTAAGTAAAGTTTATTTACATTAGGCTTTTTTGAAGTTTTCCAACTTAACTATGCCTTCACTGGATATGGAACCAACAAAACAAAATCTTCTGATGAAGCTTTAATTAAGGTTGTACTCACATCTGGTGGAATCCGAGCACTATCTTTTACTGAGTTTCCTTCAACAGTGAGATGATAAACTTGGCCATCATTATCCGTAAATACAAAATGTTCCCGGGCAGAGATGTTCTGACTAAGTTCAGATTTACTTTCTGCCTCCTGCAGCAAGCTTTGGGATGGTGAAAAATAAGATAAAGACTTTTATTTTCCCTAGAGTGATACCCATAATTAATTAACTTGCCCAAAGTACAGATGCATTAAGAGGAGGTCCAAAACTATTTTTTGAAAAGTCTGAAACTAATATTTGCCCAAACTAATTTTGGGTAAACACGAATCACTCCTAAACAGTCACAACATCAGAGGAAGTTTACCCTGGACAGAGAAAAATGGTGATCTAAACTTAATACAAGAGAAATAAACTTCATAGAGGTTTTTGCTATAGAACTCTTCTCAATAGAAGGGAGGCTGTACAGTGACCCAACATTATCTCTGAAGCTTTTTATCTGTAAGATTGGCATGGATGGGGTGGCGCACAAATTTAGGATTCCCAACACATTTTCTTTGGTGTGCATAAATGATAATATGATCTATCTCTATGTCTATGCTATGTTCATTTGAATTTCAGGAACTGAAGTGTATGGAGTAGAAGGGCACTTGGAATGATCACATGTACTAACAGAGGCTGATGGGTGAATATTACTGCATTTGTTATTACTTACAATAAACAGTATAGTATAATAAAAATGATAAACTTTTTAGTAATCTGGGTATGTACTAAAAGATGAAACTAAGTATATTCAAAAGCAGAGTCCAACTTGCTACCACAGACACCTTTGGATGACACTTGTCAACTTCCCAGACATGACACTAATAGCACAAATGACAGTGTCAAGAAACCCTGTACTGTACCTGATCACAGATGATTCAACAATACTCAGCTCTGTGTCTGAGACCACAGTCTGGCGGGCCATGGCCTCTCGAGTAGCAAGTTGCTTCTTTCTCAGGCTCTTCAAGTTGTGAGATGGTGACCATTCCTGCAAAGCAAAAGCAGGCAGACAAACCGAGACGTGCTAGGTTTTCTTCTGTCAAAGAATCCTCCAGAACAGCTGGGCACACACACCACTGCCCAGTATCATTTATTATTACCGCACACGAATCCACAATTTGTTCTTTAGATTTCACCTACTTAGAGAAAAGCTGAATGAATGCATTTTAATTAGAGCTTTTATGGCAAACTTCCAAAAGGTCTGAGCTTTTCATATTTTTAAAAAATTTTACAAAATGAAAATAATGAATTCAACAATAGTATGGCCTATTCTCATCTCCTCCTTCATCTCTTGTGTGCACAGGATAAGACAATCACAATTCTCCAACCAGGGTCCTTTATCATCCATAGATCCCTCCAAAATCACTTGTTTTATTTATATATTCTTTTATATTCCGCCTATCGTAAAACCTTCAGTCCAACATCCTCACATATGTATAAGTTCTTAACGTGTAGTTATTTCACATGTATTTCTAATTTACATAAATAGTATGGTGTTTATATATAAATGTGTGTGTGTGTGTGTGTATATATATATGTATTTTATCCTGTTTCTTACTCCTTCCACTGTATTTAAGTCCTCTTCCTCCTGTTTCTGCATGCTACATAACACTCCATGGCTGCATCAGCCAACTGTTAATCTGTCTCCTCTCTCTCGGTAAAAAACACGCAGATGGTCTCCAAACTCACATCATGACAAAACACACCACAGTCAATATCCTTGCAAGAGTTCCTTTACAACCAACAGCTCGGCAGACACAGAGGATGTCTGTGTTTGCCCAAGTGCTGCCAGTGTGCTTTACAGAATGGCTGCGTTGGTCTACATTCCTACCAGCAATGCACAAGGATTCCCATACCCTATGTTCCACCCACACTTGACACTACATGGCTTTCCAGTTTTTGTTAGTCTAAAAGGTAGATCCATATCATGGTTTGAACATCTCTGAAAACTGATGAGTCTGAACATTCCTTTATATGGCTTGTTGGCGTTTTAGGTTTCTCTGCCTCTCATTAGCTCTTCACCAACTTTGTTCATTTTTCCACTAGGGTTCCTGCTTTTTTTCACTGTTGATTTGCAGGAGTTTCTAGTTAAATTTAGATGCTGGAAAATTTGTTTTCCCAAAATGTCTTCTGTATTTAAGTTTGATTTTTCATCAAACAAAAAGCATTAATCTTGATTAATTAAATGCATTAAGTTTCTTTTTCTTTTCTTTTCTTTTTTTTTTTTGCCTTTTGGTTTGATCTTCTGATGTCTCCTCCTCTCTCTAGGTCACAAAAATATTTTGCATTTTGTTATATTCAATTTGTATAGCTTTACATTTTTTACATTTAGGTCTTTAGTGCTGTGACACTCACTTCTATATATGGTATTAAGTAGAGAACAAGTATTTTTCTCCATAAAGTAAGACAGTTTTCCCAACACCATCTATTACACAGTCCATCCATCCTCTTTGATTTGTGCTGCTTCACTGTATATTAAGTCCCCAAATATTCATGGGTCTATTTCTGAGCTCTTTATTATGTTGACTCACTTCCTATTCTTGTGCCAATATAATACTGATTTTATTTCCATGGTTTTGTAAGATGTACTAATATCAGGTAGGAATGGCAAACCCCACCCATACCTCCCACATTTACTCCTCTTTATTCAAGGATGACTTAGCTATTTAGGACCTTTATTCTTTCATAAATAGTTTACAATATGTTTATCATATTCCTCAAAATATCCAAACGAAATTTCAATTGGAATTGCACTAATATAATATTAGGTTGATCCACCCAAGAAAATAAGAGTTATCTCCATTTATTTAGATCATCTTCTCTGAACACACATTTTTAACAAGAAAATATGACATTGGCAGTAATGATTTTGATTCAAGCTTAAGCCAAACATTCACCACATACATATATACCTAAATAAGCTATTTAATTCTTAAACTGTAACTTACCAAAGCAGTTATTGCAGGGAAGTTTTTGGACATTTCTCTAAGAAGGGTACAAGTCCTAACATCCCATAGCTCCAGGGGTTTATCTTTGAATACAACTGCCAAATACTGCCTAAAATAAAGAAAATTGCTAAATAAGCCCCTTTTTGCAAAACTTTCACCATGAATTAGACCAAATAAAAAGTTCAGTAAATTGAAAAACTCAGCTGACGCATTCTAAATATAGACAATTTAAACCACCATTTAGCACCCATGATGAACAGTCCTAAGAAGGTAAAGCTTTAAGATGACCTGTGAGAGAACATATAGTCTCACACAATTGGGCAAGTAGCCCAACTCAGAAGAAAGAGTGACACAGATTCAAAGCCTGATGCCGCAACTTATGTTAACCCTCCTGAGGCTCAATTTCTCACATATGACATGGGAATCTCATCATGGACCTCAAAGAATTGATATACAGATTATGGTAGGCATTCAGTGAAAAAGTATGTAAAGTTTCTATCATCCTACTACAGTTGGTATTCAACGAATGCCACTTTATTCACTTTCTGTTAAGCCTGGAAGAAGTACTGAATGATGTCAATGAGTGCAATTCAATAAACATAATTTGAGCATTGATTACTCAATAAGCATTATGAGGAGCTAAAATATTATTCAGCAAATGATGGCTGACATAGAGGAAATGTGACAAGAGTAGGCAGATCCCTGTACTCCCTGTATGAAAGGACTGAGATTCTTCCACTCAGGACCACCTGTGACCCCCAACAGAAAGTAGAAATTTACAGAAAGATACCTGGCAAAACACCCACATAGTTGGAAGTTAGAAAATACACCTCTGAATGACATCCCATGGAAACTGTCAAAGCGTATAAAGTGAATTAAAATGAGAACATATTACTATATCAAAAATTGTAGGATACAGGAAAAGTAGTGCTTACATAGCATGAAATCTTTACATTACATTTTAGAGAATCATCTTAATTTAATTATCTAAGTTTCTATTTTAGAAAACTATGCAAAAAAAGAAGAGCATATTTAAGAAGTAAGCAGAAGAACAAAAGATAAGCATGATAGTCAATTAAATTGAAAATGGAAAAATCATAGAGAAGAATCAAATGAACCAAAAGTAGTTTCTTGGAAAAGATCAATAAATAAAATTGGTTGATATAATTTACTGATATTAGGAGTGGGAGAGATAATCACTGATCATAGAGACATGATGAACAAGCTTATTTCAATAAATTAATAAACTCAGCAACTTCAACAAAATGGACAGATTACTTGAAAGACACCAATTACCAAAACTCAAAAAAAGGTAGAGAATCTAAATAGTCCTATATTTATGAAAAAAACTGAATTTGTATTTAAAAACTTTTCCACAAAGAAAATTTTAGGTTCAGATGGGTTGCCTAATGAATTTTTCCTATTTAGTAAGAAATAATATCAATTCTACACAAACTCATTATTCAAAAAAAAGGAGAGAGAATACTTTACAACACATTCTGCAAGGTCAATATTACCCTGATAACAAAACGAAGGATATTACATAAAAATGAGACCAATATCCTTCATGAACATAGATATAAAAACTCTTCATAATATATCAAGAAATCAAATCCAGCAATATGTCAAAACAGTAATACATCATGACCAACTAGAGTTTATTCCAGGAATGTCATGTTGGTTTAACATCTGAATATCAATCGATGTAATTCACCATATTAGTGAACTTCAAAACAAAAAGAAAAACAAAATAACACACACACGCCATATGATGATGTCAATGAATACAGAAAAAGCATTTGACAAATTCAACACCTACTCATGATACAAAGGCTCAGCAAACTAGGAATAAAACTTTTTCAACTAGATAAAGTAAATATACAAAAAATATACAGCTAATATCATACTTAGTGTTGAAAGACTGAATGCTTTCTTCATAAGATCCAGGATCAGAGCAAGATACCTGGCAAAGTTCTAAGTTCTAATCAACACTATACAGGAGAGGTCCTAATTAGTGCAAGCAAAAAGAAGGCCTATAGATCGAAAAGATGTAAAGGTGTCTTTACTGGCAAACGAGACTGTCTCTATAGAAAATCCTAAAGAATCAACAAAAGCACCTATACTAGAAGTAATAACTAAGCTTAGCATGGTCACCAGGCACAAGGTCAATATCAAAAAATTAACTGTATTTTAGTATAAAAATAATAAATAATTGAAATTTTAAAACACCATTTATAAAAGCATCAAAGAAAACACAAAATATAATTAACAAATAATATGTAAGACTTATACACTGAAAACTACAAAATATTGCTGCAATTTTAAAAGACCTAAATAAGTGGAGAAATACACCACGTTCATTACGTTTATGAATTATAAAACTTGTTAAGATGCCAATTTTTCCCCACACTGATTGATGGGTTCAGTGCAATCCCAATCAAAATCTCAGGAAGATTTTTTGGTAAAACTGATAGGTTGATTCTAAAATTTATATGGTAATGCAAAGATCTTAGAAAAGCCAAAACAAGTTTGAAAACTATTTTAGAAAGCTTACTCTTTGTAATTTTGATTGATTTTCATTTGGTTTCTATTTTTAATAATACTGCTTTACATGTTATTTTCCCCTGAAACAATAAAACTCAATTTCTGGAAGCAAAATGGGTTTAAATTATACATAAAGAGAATGGATTCTTTCACTCAGCAACTCCATGCTTAGATAGAAGTACGTAAAAACTTTATCCGAAAGTAAACGATTCATGCAAAAGCTAACTCATCTTTTTAGAAGTGGAGAATTAAAAGTGATAGCAACTTAATTTTGTAATCAAAATATTTTCTTTGGGCTGCATATCACTATTTGCTATCACTAAAAAGATTCTATGTGCATTCCAGCACATTCCCATTTTCTTAAAGATTAAAAAAATCCATGAGATTTCATTGTGATAACACTATAGATTTTTTTTTTAGGTCGACACTTACTTCAAATGAGATACTTTAATCATTTCGATGGGAGATTCATCATTGCCTCTTTCACCGCGAAAAGCAATGCTCCTACCTTTAATTACAAATATTTTAAAAAGTGAGAACAGTGCATAAAACATGTATGAAAAACAAGAAGCCACACCAATATAATTTGATCGGTCCTACCCTTCCTACCCTCTGTTCTCCTATTCATTCTTCCATTTGCTTCAAATCTGTTTCTGTTTTTTTGTTTTTTTTTTGTTTGTTTGTTTTTTTAAACAGAGTCTCACTTTGTCACCCAGGCTAGAGTGCAGTGGCGCGATCTTGGCTCACTGCAACCTCCGCCACCCAGGTTCAAGTGATTTTCTTGCCTTAGCCTCCCGAGTAGCTGGGATTACAGGTGCTCGCCACCACGCCGGCTAATTTTTGTACTTTTAGTAGAGATGGGGTTTCACCATGTTGGCCAGGCTGGTCTCGATCTCCTAACCTCCAGTGATTCACCTGCCTCGGCCTCCGAAAACACTGGGATTACAGGTGTGAGCCACAGCGCCCAACTGCTTCTAAGCTGTTTCTAATAACATAAGTTCAAAGAATATTCTCAAAAGTGTTACAAATTAATGATCAATAATACATCACATATTCAGACATTTATTTTGTAAAAAGGCATTTTCATTTGTTACACAGTTTCTTGAATTCTGTAATTCAATTTTAGAAATTTAAAAAAACAATGATAAGTTTTAAGATATCTATAGGACAGCAGTTGTCTGGTGCGAAAACTATTTATTTAAAGTAATATTTAATACAAACATTCTCATGTTTCCAAATACTAACTAGTGGGGGAAAAACTCTTGAAACATGTATTTAAGATTTTCTTGTCCCATGTGTAAAATACTAGTTAAATATTTTGAACATGTTCCTCTGAAAACATCTTTATAAACTGGAAACTACGGAATAACTACTGTGTTCATGTATGCTGTGAAAGAGTGAGTTACCCACAAAGGAAGCTACATGATTTTCTGTGAATAAAAAAAGTATAAATTCTAACTTGTATGTTTAGTATCTTGTGATAGATTTTTATCTACATTAAACAAAAGAGAGAACATACTCAATTCAAGGCCATCTGAAGGCCTAAATGTCTTCCTGCTCTTCATTGAGATTCCATCATGTGGAATCTCAGTATACTCACTATTATTATACCCCAAACAGCCCATGTCCTGTCCTAACTGCACTAGTCTGCTGCCTTCCTTAGAAGCCCAGGCTATAAAAGTGTATAATCTATGAACTCAAATATCCCGCTTAAGGAATTATCAGTAACTGTTACTTATGTGCAAAGCAGATTTTAAGTTATCCAACAGTCCTCAATCTGAGCTGACCAAAACAAATACACAGGGATTTTTTTTTCTTTTTTTTTTTAGTCAATGGTACTAGACAACAGCATTTTATCCCTGGGATCACTAGAGACAGAGCCAGTACCACTCTGTTGGCAAATTAGGAACTTGGGAATGAGAGTCAATGGGCATGTCACTTCCAATGAAACCAGAGCAGCAACACTGGACTAAAGATGGGGATGATTCCTTGAAGTTTAGTAACACACCCTGAGAAGTAAGAACAATTGGATCTTTGAGAGCTTGAAAATACATATGGAGACTATAAAAAAGCGACCATGTACTTCATTTGTTTACAACTTACTTGATTTACAACCATTTATTTGATTTATTCATTTTACACATACATACACATGCTCTCATTGGTTAAGATCATCTGCATATGATTCATGTTGCTATACCATTTTAAAGAAACTCATCACAATTTTGTTTAAAAAAAAAAACCTCTTTGAAACTACTGCATATTTTCAAATTCTTCATTTTGAAATTCACTGGTTTTAGGCTTTTAACAATTCTGAAAAAGTTACCTTATTGGGACGTTTCCTACTGTAGAATCTTCAAAATCCCAAATTAAGTTTCTCTATTCATTCAGCCAGAGACTATTACAAGTTTTAAATTTGAGCATTTAAAAACAATCCTTAACCTATAAATTTTCTAAATGTTTCCTATGAAGGCCAAAATTTTCAGCAGAGATGCTAATAAAGTCCATTGATAGAGTTATTTTTAAATTGATCTTTTAAAGTTGGTTATATATAACAATGCACTTAAAAGTAGAACTGGTATCCTCCTATGTTTTAATGAATCTGTCTGTTCAGGCTAATGGTCCTCCATTTTATCACGTATTTGTGCCAACAACATTTCCATGCAAACAACAATGAAGCCTTTCTAGGGCAATTATTAAAGAATAAAAGAATAAATACATAAACATGAAATATAAGAAAAAACTCCAAGATGAAAGAAGTACTTTCAAACATGTTTTATAAATAGCAACATGTTTATTCAATATGACAAATCAATTTGAATCTTTAAAAACAAACCTGTTGGAAGATCAACCAGTTGAAGCTCATTTCTCACTAATCCCATATTGTTTGGTGTTGAGGTAGCAAAAGAAAGAAAACTAGTCAAACTTGTCCATTCAATACCCCTATAATAGGAAATGAGATAAAGGTTAAACTAATACTCTTTTTTATTTGAAAGGTTCATTTATTTGAAAAATAAGTTTTCCAAAGACCTAAATTGTATTACGCAAATTAATTAAAAAGTAAGCATGACCTTTTATCTTAACATGACCTTTTATTTGAGACTGTACTACCATACCTAACACATACAAAATTATTTCTAACTAAAACTTTATCTACAAATGTAATGACAAGATAGTTTAGTTATCAAGATTCACATCGGTATTAACATGACTATTAAACTCTGGCCAGGGAGAGAGTCATATTACAGTAGTTTCAGCCTACCAGACCAAGACACAAACTAATGACCTAAGAAAATCCACATGTACCTCTCTATTTTGTTTACTTCTAAGTATCTTCCATTGCATTATAAGCTTCAAAGGCTTTGTCTGTTTACAAGCATAGAGAAGATACTCAACAGATAATTGTAAAGCATTGTGAGTTAAAAGAAGCTTTTAAAAACATACACACGTTGCACTATCTGCTGTCATGAGTCCCCGGCACAGTATACACAAACCTTCAAGTGCTTCAGATTATGATTTTTAAAAGCACACTTAATAAAAGGTAGGAAAACAACTTTCTAAAAGTTAATCTTATTTGGACATGAAAATCTAAAATGTTTTGAGTTTACTGCTAGTAAGTTAAGAGATTTTTATAATACATCCGAGAAAGTTTTTTTTTTTTTTTTTTTTTTGAGACAGGGTCTCACTCTGTCACCCAAGCTGGAGTGCAGTGGCACGATCTCAACTCACTGCAACCTCTGCCTCCCAGGCTCAAGAGATCCTCCCACCTCAGGCTCTCAAATAGCTAAGCCTACAGTGTGTGCCACCACATCCAGCTAATTTTTGTATTTCTGTGAAATTTTCTTAATGGCTTTTGATTATGATACGAAAATTACATTAACTGAAACACAAAGCAGGATTTTAGCGGTCTCTTGGCCTGTATCTCTGAATATAAAATACAAATTATTTTCAAAATGTCAATGAAGAGGAAAAATTCATGTAAAAATAGAGTATCTTTGTATGATCATTCACGACATTTATCTCCCTGAGTAGTATATCCCTCAGAGTTAGTATCCCAAGTAACACTTATAATCAATTTCAATGTTACTCAACCATAAATATTATCTTAGCATGTATAAGTCAAGTATTTAGTGACATCTATAACCTGACTAATCCAGGATAATAAATCTTACTTAAAATTAATACCCCTCTGATTAATTAGCTATTAAAACTTTGTGTTTGAAAAAAATGACACCATGTTTGACTTTTCAGAAGCATGTGTGAAATTCTTAGCACAAATCTTGGCTCAGCCAACATTTTAATTTTACTGCCAACATGATTCCTACAAACCTATGTGCGTATTTCAGCAGGAGATGTAGCATATGTACTGTAAGGATAAGTGAAGAGTTCAGGCTCTGAGGCTTGAAAGGCTTAGAGTGAATTGCATCTAGCTCCTTCACAGATTACTCTGTAATTTTCAGTTTCTTACTCTGTAGACTGGAAATACAATACCTGCCCTATACAATTGTAGTGGGCATTCAATGAAATGATGCATGCAAAGTATTAATACTTAACATAATCCCTAGAGTAAGTAGTGATTAAATGGAGAGTTTCCCCTGGTTAGTGTTGACCATAAACAGAAACACCAGACACATAAGGCAAGGTGAAAGGAAATGTCGAGAGTAGATGGGAAAGAGAGAGAGAGAAGATTCAGCAGTGCAAGCAGAGACTACTAGAAGTGCCAGAATGGCAAGCTACAGACACTGCAACAGTAAAGAAGAGATGACTAACAGCCTGAAAGAGTCCAAACAGACACCTTTGTCACTGCACCTCAAAAGCCCAAAGTTTTTAAAGACATTATTCCACGCAAATGTATTTGGGGAGATGCTGTACAGGAACAGCCTAAGGTGGCAATAAACAGTCACCTGGGCTGCGCCACACAACAATGCACTTGAAACAATAAGGGTGATGCAACTTTTCAGAGATTTCCATCACAATCAGAAGCTGTGATACTTAAAAGGTTAACCTGGCCTGGCACATGTGGCTCAGCCTGTAATCCAGCACATTTGGAGGCAGAGGCAGGTGGATCATCTGAGGTCAGGAGTTCAAGACCGGCCTGACCAACATGGTGAAACCCTGTCTTCTACTAAAAAAACGAAAAAATTAGTTAGTGGTATGGTGGCATACACCTGTAATCCCAGCTACGCTGGAGGATGAGGCAGGACAATTGCTTGAACCTGGGAGGCAGAGGTTGCAGTGAGCTGAGATGGGCCACTGCATTGTAGCTGGGTGACAAGAGCAAAACTCCATCTCAAAAAAAAAAAAAAAAAAAAAAAGAAGGAAAAAAAAGGTTAACCCTTCTCCATTAAGAAAATGCATTACTCAGGATAATGTGTTTGCTAAGGTTCACTGAGATTTATACACAGACCACATTTAATGTAAGAAACAGAAATATGACTTCTTATGTTTCATGAAGATCATAAAAAATATACTGGGAACTGGCAGGGGCAGTGGCTCATGCCCGTAATCCCAGCACTTTGGGAGGCTGAAGTGGGTGGATCACTCTGGGGTGAGGAGTTCAACACCAGCCTGGCCACATGGTGAACCCTCGTCTCTACTAAAATATAAAATTTTAGCTGGGCATGGTAGCACATGCCTGTAATCCTAGCTACTCAAAGAGGCTGAGACACAAGAATCACTTGAACCCGGGAGGCGGAGATTGTAGTGAGCTGAGATCGCACACTGCACTCTAGCCTGGGTGACAGAGTAAGACTCTGTCTCAAAAAACAAACAAAAAACTGGAAATTCATATTTTTATATGTGTAACTCTACAATCTATCACTTGATAGGACACAAAAGGGAAATAAGCCTTGCGTTCAACAGATAATGCTATGGACAGTACAGGTATGCATTCTCGAAACAGAAAGCAGAAGCACTCTTCTGTCAATTTAGCCTTCCCTCAGATAGCTCTGCATACACAGAATCCATAAGCAGATCAGGTTTTAAAATCAAAGAATAAATGCTATGCAGTGTTCTGATGATGTTTAAACAAGAATTAAGACAAATTAACAATTAAAATGACTTTATTTGAATTTGTCATTAGCAGTCCTACTGATGGATCATCACAGAAACTGAAATATGCAAGCCATAAAAAGAATGAGTTCATGTCCTTTGCAGGACATGGACGAAGCTGGAAGCATCATTCTCAGCAAACTAACACAGGAACAGAAAACCAAACATTGCATGTTCTCACTCTCTATGATGGAGTGAACAATGAGAATACATACACTCAGGGAAAGGAACATCAACACAATGGGCCTGTGGGGTTGAGGGGCAAAGGGGAGGGAGAACATTAGGAGCATAATTTAATGCATGTGGGGCTAAAACCCTGATGATGGGTGATTAGAGTGCAGCAAACCACCATGGCACATGTATATTAATGTAAACAAACCGCACCGTTGACATTATCCCAGAACTTAAAGAAATAGATTAAAGAAAAAAGAAGAAATGTGGACATACAAATCATTGAATACTATGCAGTCGGTAAAAGGAATGAGGTCATGTCTTCTGCCAGGGACATGGGATGGAGCTGGAAGCATCATCCTCAGAAACTAACAACAGGAACAGAAAACCAGACACACCCATATGTTCTCACTCATAAGTGGAGTGTATGACAATGAGAACAATGGATACAGGGAGGGGAATAAAACATCAGGGCCTGTCGGCAGAGGGCATCTGAGGGGAGGAGAGCATCAGGAAATAGCTAATGCATGCGGAGCTTAAAACCAAGGTGATAGGTTTACAGGTGCAGCAACCACCAGGGCACACATATACCTATGTAACAAATGTGTCACGTTCTGCACATGTATCCTAGGAACGTAAAGTAAAAAAAATTAACAAATAATGAAAGTATATTTTGAGCAATAATAAATAATAAATAACCTGAACAAGGCAACATAAGGACATCCAGTGAAAAAGCCTGGCCCTTAGGAGAAATAATGAGTGCAACTATCAGTTGGTACAAAATAGCTGTTTTTTGCCATTAAATTGCAAAAACCGCAATTACTTTTGCAACAACCTAATAAAAGATAAAGCATTCTCTACTGTTTATGTTCTTTAGACAACAAACAATTAGTTATCATTCTTGATTTAACATAGCCATTAGTTGGACATGATATTATTCGAACTTTTCAAATAATCACCACTGCAGATAACATTATGGAGTATCAATGTAGAAAAGTCTATGAGAATTTTTTTCTGATATGATGTTTGTGATGTCACCATCACAATGACATACTTATCTTGACTTACATGAGTGGATGCTTAACTCCTTGTGTAGCAGACCACTGGTGAGATGGTAACCAGGACAGACCGTTACTTGTACCTTTCAAATGAATCATGGAAGATCATTAATTCAGTGGGAGTTCCAGCACTTTCCAAGAAAAGTCTTTTCTCAAGACTTTGATCACTTAACAACATTTTTCATTTTATAAAGAAACCCAAGCTATGTGCTTAAAACAAAACAAACAGACAGAGATGGATATTCTCTGGTCCACTTCCTTATTTAAAAAAATGGGCCTAACCTCATGTGCTCAAAAACCTTGCTTAATTCCAGGAATAGATTTTTCACAGAAAGATCTTAAAACTTACACTAATACACATACAATTTGAAAAACACTTTCCTAAGCTTTTATACACATGGGAATTTATACTTTTTGAGATTCAGAAGGTTTAATATAGCTGATCCTCAAATAAGCAATCTAGCAGAGCTCATTAACCAGGGTTATCCATTTTTCTTTACACAGTTTTGTTTTTGTTTTGTCTCTCATATTAAATAAACCCTGATGAGAGAGTAAAGTATGATGGTTAACTGCGGTTTCTGCAATTAAAGAAACCTGGGCTCAAGCCCTGGCTCTTCCTTATACTCTTGGATGAATCACTTGCCCACACTAAATCTGTGTTTTCATCTCTTTAAAATGGGAAGAGTAGAAAATCTATTTCTTGGAGATTAAATGGGAAAACATAAAGCACTTAGCACAGTAATTGGCACAAAGTAAGCACTTGGTTAACTATTAGTATCCTGTTATCACTACAATTAACAGTTTACAGTTATTATTCCTAAAGCTTTTCATGGTCTCAGGTAGTATGTCTGAAGTTTAAATGGAAGGGACATGGACATACATGAAACAGCTTCAGTCTCTGTAGTGTTTTTATAAGTTAAGCAAGAAAAGTGAACAGTCTATATGGACAATCACTTTTGCACTGCACATGATTTAAAAATTAATGAATTCATACAAAGAAAGAGGGTGGAAGTAAAAATGCTGGGCAAATTCCAATATTATCTTATTTGCTGAATAAAACTCCAGAAATCTTTTGCAAAACTATTCTAGAAAAACACATTGTACAGTTATTTACATCTATCATCTATTTTATAATAATACCTTCTGGCACTGAGAAAGTAAATTACTAAAATTTTTCAATTAACAGAACTTCATAATAATCAAATGATTTCTATAATCTGAAAGTTTTAACAGTGCTGAACCTATGATCTAATGCACTAGGGGCATTACAAGAATTAATTCCATAGTTGAACTCTTTATCTTTATTAGTGACACTCTAGACAAACCTTTAGGCACTTATATTTTTACTTTGTTATACTAAATTCAGTAAATGATGCTGACTACATACCAATACAGCTTATTCTACAATGGAAATCTCAGACCTTGCCATAGCTCTTATTATATAGCTATCCCAAGAAGTAATTTTCCCCAAGAAATTGAAAAAATCCTAATTGACAAATCAGGAACACAGACATAATACATACATGCACATACGAAGCACACTGCTGAATCCTAATTAAAATCTATTAATGGTGAAATATTAATAGTTTCTAAAGCAAAAATTAAACATTTATCTGCATTATATAAACCTGGACAGATATACAGACAATTGAATCATAAAAATCAAATCGCTTTCAAAACAGAGGCACAGAAAAAAACAGAAGGGTACTACCAAATAGTAATACCCAAATGAGTCTTTAGCACTGAGAAGTCAGCCATGTTAGCCACAGAATAAACATGGTGAGGCTTTCACTACAAATCACATGTTAATAGACTTGGGGAGAAAGCCAGAAGCCAGCCAATAGCATCTTAAGAAGAAATGTTGAGTTTCAAACAAATACACGGTTTTTCAAAAGTTTTGGAGAAATGTATTTTAATCATGTGTACTTAATAGCAAACTAAATTTTGTTTTTTCTCTATGCTGTAGAGAAAATTAGGTTCATCACATTACTATGAAATCAATGTGACAGCAAGTTGAAACCCAGAATAAATTTTTCTACCTATAACATACAAATACACAATTTCAAACCAAAAGGCAAATCTTAATTTATAGGGACCATAGACACTTTAAATAATATTTGATATATAACTCTTAGCAAAAGAAGAATCCTGCTGTTATTAAACTATTAACCCTGACTATATTTTTAGTCAATAAAGACCCAACGAAAACTGACATGACCTAGAGACTGGGGTGGTCCAATTACAGACAAGGAGCCTGGGATTCAGCACTGCAGGGATGAGCCTCCTGATATTTCAGTGACGAATGGACAGCGTCAGAGACTCGACTGTCCAGTCTCAGGTGGAAGAAGACTTAGCGTTCCAATTCAATATAAGATGGTTGGAATAAAAGGACAGAAAAAAATTTTCGTTTAAAGTTCCAGGATGAGTATTTACACAGTTTCACTTAGCCTCTGACTCCTTTTAAAGCATCCTAAGAGAGAATAAAGGAACTTCTAGAAACTAGAAAACCTAAACATCTTATAAAGTGAGTTAAAAAAAGACCAGGTCAAATACTCACCAACAGCCAGCAGTGGCTGATACATCTTGATGTTTTTTGTGGTCAACGGTGGACACATACGGATAGCAAACTGTGGTGCAGGCAGTCCTGAGAGCAGTCCCGTCAGCAAGAACTTGAGGTGCACTTCCCGCAGAATTGAACCTCTGGGATGTTCTTCCCCAGCAATTGCACTTTGCCCTGATTTGTAATAAAAATAACAAATATATTAACTATACTGTATGCAGATCTTAAAAAGCTAAAGAAAATTTTCAGTAGAAATGTTCTTCAGGTCTAAAAGTATAATGTAGTACACTAGTGGCTGGAGTTATTAGGGACACAATGACTCCATACCTGGCTATAGGACTTAAATTGCATCGACTAACACATCAAAGGATAGATTACTCCCGAGTCCTGCTATCCAGAATACAGGGACCTATGTATTCTAAGAGACACTGTTTCAGTCAATATTCCTGGTATTAAAGCACTACACAGGCTTCAGAAGAAAGCAAGATAACTTGCATTAGAGAACAGCTTCTTCAGACTGAACTACTGTACTGCATTCTCATTTTACTGCCTTTTGAAAGGGTTACTTTTCAATCTGATGTACGCTGTAAAGTACATACAAAATTGGTATTCATGAAAAACAGGTTTAAATAACTCATTCATAATTTCTAATAAGAAATCTTAATGTGTCAGTGTAATTACAAAACATAAGCTTTATAAGTCAATATAAAATAAATGCAAATATATATTCATAAATCATGTGTATAATATATAAGCCATCACTGTCAATAGTTAAGACTTCAATGGCATATTTCCCAAACACCATTTGTACTTAGGTTAGCAAGTCTCAAACTAAAAAGATGACTCCAATAAAAATCATTCTAACAAAATCTAAATATAAACAGTACAATAAAATCAAGACTGTTCATTAAAAAGGTATACAAATTTCCTTCCTATAAACCACTATAGAATATTGGGATTAACCTGCCAAAAATAGAAAGAATATGCATGTATATACATATACGTCTACATACACATAAACACAAACATGTATATAGTGTGAAAGGAAAAATGTAAATAAGTAGGTGGTGAATATAACCTTTTGAAGCTGTAAAGTTGTTTTAATAATGTTATTTTAAAATCCACAAAATATATAGAAAAAATAGCATTTTAATCCTATTAAAATGATCCCTTAGGATTAGCCACATACTCAATACCAATCTCTCTGCCTAACTTTGGTTGAAAAAAGATGGAGGCTGGGCATGGTGGCTCACACCTGTGATTCCAGCACTTTGGGAGGCTGAGGCGGGCAGATCATGAGGTCAGAAGATCGAGACCATCCTGGCCAACATGGTGAAACCCTTCTCTACTAAAAATACAAAAATTAGCTGGGGGCGGTGGTGCACACCTGTAATCCTAGCTACTTGCCAGGCTGAGGCAGGAGAATCGCTTGAACCCAGGAGGCAGAGGTTGCAGTGAGCTGAGATTCGCCATTGCACTCCAGCCTGGTGACAGAGCGAGACTCTGTCTCCAAAAAATAAAATAAAATAAAAAATTAAAAAAGATGGAATATTAAGGAATAGGAAGCTTAACAGGTAAAGGCCACACATACATATGTTGGCTTTGAGTTGACTCCCAGGGAATGCCACATTTTTCTTCAAGTATTTTCCATCAGAGGCAATTCATAATGTAGGGCAGATTAGGCCTTAATAAGTATCAGCATTTATCCAGTGAATATAAATCAGCCTCTGTATTTACCTGAATTGCTTTCAGTTATCACTAAGAACACAGTGAATTTCAAATTAAAAGTTCAAATTAAAATGTTTTCAAGTATGAAGCTTTACTTAACACTTTAAAATCAACTACATTGTCAAGAACTGCTATACAACCTGTATCCATTTGTCTCTTAAAAATGTAATTTATATCACTTAGACACCTAAATAGCATAAAATTTCAAACTTCTATGGGCTCCATATAACTGATTAGTGCTGTTCTCGTGTGTGTTTGTAATTCTTTTCACTTTAAGTTTTCATATTAAGAGTAGAAAAGGTGAATTAACTAAAAAAATTGTGTTACCGATAAAACAAATTTTGCAAAACAAGTATTGTTCAGGCTTCCCCATATGGATTTATGTCTGGTAGAATAGATACCAGAGAGAAAGAATTTTAAATATAATAGTAAGTATCACTGAACAAAACGATTTCATAACTGGCAGAAATCATGAAAAAACTGAGGCCTAGAGATGGATGACGGTCTTGCCCAAGATGACAGTGGAGCTGTCAGGACCAGAGGCCATTGCTAAGGAGCAGGCTCCGGAGCCAGGATTACCTGGGTCACACTTTGGCTCTTCCTGTGTGACTGTGTGGTTTAAAGCTTTAATCTCTCTGGGCCTCAGTTCTTATATATATCAAATGGAGATGATATTACTTACAATGCAAAGTTGTAGCAAGGTAATACATAGAATATTTAGCACAGCACTTAACACAGTATTAAGTACCCAATAAATGTGCTCTGATTAATGTAATTAATAATGTAATGCTTTTTTTTTTTTTCTTTGAGACTGAGTCTCGCTCTGTCGTGAGTGCAGACTGGAGTGCAGTGGTGCAATCTTGGCTCACTGCAACCTCCGCCTCCCAGGTTCAAGCGATTCTCCTTCCTCAGCCTCCCGAGTAGCTGGGACCACAGGCACGTGCCGCCACACCTGGCTAATTCTTGTATTTTTAGTAGAGACAGGTTTCACTATGTTGGTCAGGCTGGTCTCGAACTCCTGACCTCAGGTGATCTGCCCGCCTCAGCCTCCAGAAGCTCTGGGATTACAGGAGTGAGCCACCACGCCCGGCCAATGCTCCTTCTAGTACATCACCTATCTAGCGTTTCAACAACAACAATAAAACCCTCCTTGGTTCATTCCAAGCTGAGGAACCAGCAAACAGCAAGGTCCTGAGTTGGCATGGCATAATAGCTCAGCATTGGCTCTAGGTCCAAAATCCAGATGCCTAATGTCATTGCTTTCATTTATATCAGTCTCTCATGAATGAACGTCTTCTATTTCTAACAACTGTAATGCAAACCTATGCTACTTCAGGCACTTTTCTACTTAAGTATTTTAAACCCCACTGATTTATTTAGGAAAGAATGATTCCATGTTCTAGTTTTCTCAAGCATTAACTTTTTTGACTTTAAAATAATTACAAGTGAGTGATTCTATTAATTTTGCCCTTCAGAAAGAATACTTAACATGGAGTTAGAGGGGAAAAAAGCTTACCAATCATGTTATCTAAGGAAAGATCTGGGAGTTTGTTCTGTAGCACTCCTACAGGAATTCCACAGAAAGACACTGGTGAATATAAAGGTGACACACCAGAACTACTGCAAAGACATAATAATTAGAAGGTTTTACATATTTAAAATCTGTATTACATATTAGGAATTCAAATTATTAAGTCCAGATCATGGCATTCTATTTTTATATTATTCATTCATCTTACCCATAGGTGAAATAGCTCTAGCAGATTTACATAATTCCCCAATAATCTAAAGCCTTAATTATTACCTTAAAAATATTTTTATAGAAAACCAGCCCTCCTATTTTTATGATTATGGAAATTTTTTATAAAACAGAAAAAAAAAAAAACCAAAACCATGATCCTGTTGAATTTACCTGTTCCGCATATTTCGATTACAAACTGCAGACTTGAGTTCCCATATCATGACCCTGCCATCACTCACTACGAGGGCGGCTGCATTCTCATTGACAGGACAGCATACCATACTGAAGGGACGGACGGTTTTTGTCACCCTGATTGCATCACACTGGCTTCGTAAATCATAGGTAAGCTCCTGAACTGGATCTGGATCTTCACAGAAAATTGTTTTAAATATGAGAAAGTAGCCACATCAATACCACTACTGTTTGTTTTAATTTAAATAAAACCTCAACTAAATTTGGGTTTCACTTCTTCATGAATGCAATGTCAAGCATGGCTTCACTTTTTACAATTACTATTAAATTTTTTCTGAATATAAAGATAATTCACTTAATGACTGTACTAAGTTTAATCTCCAAAATAACAACTATAATCAAGATATCTTGTTTTTCAATATTTTTAAAATAAAGACAATGCTTTGAAAAAGGATCAACAGTGATATATAATTAATGAATAAATTTCCATCATAATTTGTAGTAGTCTATAAGCCTGAAAATAACTGTACTTTCCAAAAGATGTGAAAATCACTTTGATCTTTACACAGTATATAATTTCACAAAAACATTATTTCCATTCTCCAAGATAAGACTGACTTGACCACTGAGACTTAGTAACCTCTGTCACTTTATAATGGAAGTTCTTACAGCCAACAAGTCAAGGGGGTATAATAATAAAGGCACACAAGGTTGAACATGCACTGAAAAAACATTCCAGAAGATAGTAAGCTTGGAGTAACTGTATTTAAATAGGTGTGGGACTCAGTTTTCACTTATTTGTAAAAATGGAATATTGACTACTAGCCAGATTGTAGTAAGAAGTACATGAATTAATAGAT